CTAGTGAGGGGATTCATGACATGTACTCTAGATTTACCAGTCTGATAAACAAATTGAAAGGGTTGGGTAGAGTTATTGCATCAAAAGATATGGTTAGGAAGCTTCTTCGATCCTTACCGAAAGAATGGCTGCCTAAACGGACAGCCATTGAAGAAGCCAGGAATCTTAACACATTGGCTGTTGATGAGCTAATTGGTTCACTTCTCAATCATGAGCATGTTATTAGGCAAGTAGGAAAGGAAGATGAAAGGCGTAAGAAAAGTCTTGCGTTCAAAAGTCGCATGTATGATTATGAATCAGATAATGAAGTCGATTCTGACTTTGAACGAGAATTGGCTCTGGTTAGTAAGAAATTTCATCGCATGATGAAGTTCAAAAATGATCAGAAGCAACGCGATATTGAGCATAGAGGTCGTTATGAGTCTCACAATCGTTTCTCTAATGCTCGTTTTCCTGGGTCAATTAGTCGTTATTCAGATTCGAATAATCGCTTTTCTGATCTAAATCAAAGGCAAAATGAGTCTTTTCAAAGAAACTTTGATAGTGGAAGAAATTATTCAATTCCTCGTAGAACTAAAAATGCTTCCTTTGAGAGATTTGCTTCGCAGGGGAAAGAAAAACTGGTACAACCGACCGAGAAGCTCAAGGCTGCTATAAATGCGGGAAGATAGGGCATGTAAGGGCTAATTGCTCTTTGACACTGAAGGCTAAAGAACAAGCTATGGCAGCCTCATGGAGCGATTATGAGTCAGAGGATGACAATGAACGGAACATTGACGAGGCATACGTGGCAAGAACAACAGATACCGATACGCACAAAGATCTTATCGATGAATTCAGCAAGGCTGAAAGCAAATGGTATCTTGACAGTGGATGTTCGCATCACATGACAGGTAACGAAGCCCTTTTCTTAACTTTAAACTATGAATTAGGAGGATAAGTGATTTTTGGTGATAACAGCTCTGGCAGAGTAGTGGGACAAGGAGTTATTGGTCTGTCCCCTATGCCAACTGTCAAAGATGTCATGTTGGTAGATGGTCTTAAGCACAATCTGCTTTCTATAAGTCAGTTGTGTAGTAGTGGGAACAAGGTTACTTTTGAAACCTCTCACTGTTTAGTTGAATGTGTCCGTGACAATAAAATTATGTTTGTTGGTAATCGAATTGGAAATATGTATGTAATAGATCTTCATGACCTAAAAGCCTTCAATGAATCATGTCTTGTCTCTAAATCAGATTACCAGGAAGCTACTTGGCACAGAAAATTGGGCCACATTAGCTTAAAAAGGCTTGCTGCCTTGTCGAAATCTAAGCTGGTCCGAGGAATTCCTGACTTAAAGGAACGAGGAAATTTTTTTGTGGTGCCTGTGCTGCTGGTAAGCAATCCAGAAGACCTTTTAAAGTAAAAACTGATATTGCCACGACCAAACCATTTGAACTAATTCATATGGATCTATTTGGTCCTTGCTCTATCACTAGTCTTGGAGGCAAAAACTACGTGTTTGTTCTTGTTGATGATTATTCCAGATTCTGCTGGGTCTATTTTCTTGCGAGTAAAGATGAAAGTTTCAGTCCTTTGTCAAAATATATTCAGAAATTAAAAGTATTAAGAGTGATAATGGAGGAGAATTTATTTCAGATGAGTTTTCTGAGTTTTGTGAATCTTGTGGCATTATTCATACTTTTTCTGCTCCTAGAACTCCCCAACAGAATGGGGTAGTTGAGAGGAAAAATCGTACTATTATTGAAACTGCAAGAACCATGTTGATTGACTATGATCTTCCAAAGTTCTTTTGGGCAGAGGGAGTTAGTACAGCCTGCTATATTATCAATAGAGTTCTTGTGAGAAAGCATCTGAACAAGACTCCCTATGAAATTTTAAAGAAAAAGACACCAAATATCTCCTATTTTCACCCTTTTGGTTGTCGATGCTTCACTCTGAATACTAGGGATACCCTTGGCAAGTTTGATGCTAAGTCAGACGAGTCAATCTTCTTAGGGTACTCTTTGAAAGGGCAAGCTTACAAAATCTATAACAAACGCACTCGTAAAGTGGAAGAATCTGTTTATGTGTTATTTGACAATGCTAACACTTCTGATAAGATATATGAGACAGATTCACAACTTCTTGATCTATTGGAGCTGACTCGTTGGCAAGAAAAAACTTCAGCAGAAACAACAGATGCAAGTGAATCAACTTTAACAGCAGTCTTCTAAAGACTTTCAAGCAACTCAATCTGCCGAGGCCGAAGCAACAACAAAAGCAGAAACTATAGCACATCATTCCAGTGACACTGAAAGACTACAAGCTCCTCCCCATATTCAAAAGAGACACCCTGAGAGTCAAGTCATTGGGAGTATTAAAGATGGTCTTCGTACCCGAGGTAAGTACACTCCAGGCTAGTATGCTTATGTATCTAAACTAGAACCTAAGTCCTATAAAGAAGCTCTACATGATGAAGAATGGGCTTATGCTATGTTAGAGGAACTTTCTCAGTTTGAATATCTTAAGGTCTGGGAGTTGGTTCCTAGACCTTTAGGGAAAACTATAATTGGAACTAAGTGGGTCTTTCGTAATAAATCTGATGAGGAAGGCAATATTATACGCAACAAGGCACGCCTTGTTGCACAAGGATATTGCCAAGAGGAAGGAATAGATTACGACGAGAATTTTGCCCCTGTAGCACGTCTAGAATCAATAAGATTGCTATGTGCTTTTGCTTGTTATAAGAATTTTCCTCTATACCAAATGGATGTCAAGAGCGCCTTCTTGAATGGAGACATTCAAGAAGAGGTCTATGTATCTCAGCCCCCAGGCTTTACTGACTCTGAACATCCAGACTATGTTAACAAGCTAAACAAAGCCTTGTATGGTCTCAAACAAGCTCCTAGAGCTTGGTTTGATCGATTGACCAAATTTCTTAAAGATCAACAGTTTTCTCAAGGGTCAGTCGATAAAACTTTATTTACAAAAACCTATGGCTCTCATATGCTTATTGTTCAAATTTATGTAGATGATATAGTTTTCGGGTCAACTGATTCTACTATGTGTTCTGAGTTCTGTGAAGCAATGAAATCTGTCTTCGAAATGAGCATGATGGGTGAGCTTCAATTCTTTCTTGGGCTACAGTTTAAACAAACTCCTCATGGTAATTTTATTAGTCAATCCAAATACATTAATACTATGTTGCACAAGTTTGATCTATTTAACATTAATTCCAGCCCAACCCCCATGGCTGGGAACTTAAAGTTAGACAAAGATGACAAGGGTGCCCCTGTAGATGAGAAGTTATATCGTGGAATGATTGGTTCGTTACTTTATCTAACGGCTAGTCGCTCAAACATTCAATACAGTGTCTGCTTATGTGCTAGGTTTCAGGAAAATCCTAAGATTAGTCATTTAACTGCTGTTAAACGTATTTTCCGTTACTTAAAAGGAACTATGGATGTCGGTCTTTGGTATCCCAAACAAACTTATTTTGACCTCATCGGTTATAGTGATTCTGACTTTGCTGGAAGTCTCACTGATCGAAAAAGCACAAGTGGTGCTTGTCAGTTTGTTGGCACTTCCCTCATCTCTTGGTCATGCAAAAAACAAGGAGCAGTTGCCTTGTCGACCTCTGAGGCTGAATATATAGCTGCCGGAGGATGTTGTACACAACTCCTCTGGTTAAAATATCAGTTAGGGGATTACGGTCTGCATATTCTTGCTATTTCTTTATTTTGTGATAATACCAGCACCATATGTATGACTAAAAACCCAGTGCAGCATTCACGGACAAAACACATTGAGATCAAATACCATTTTCATCCGAGAATTGGTGGACAATCAGGTTATCTCGCTCAATTACATTCCTACAGAGTATCAGCTAGCTGATTTGTTTACTAAGACTCTGTCAACTGACCGGTTTGTGGTTCTGTGTTATGATATTGGACTTAGATCTCCAGAAAATCTTAGAGATTTTCTTGCAGACTAAGTCTTGCCTTTCTTTGATTTATTTGCTTTCCTTGTTTATGTTATCTTTCTTGCTCTGTTTACTTTCTGCACCTTTCCTTCGTGATTTTTATTTCCTTATTCTCTGAGTGCCTGTGTGTCGACTCCTATTCCTTGCTCTATTTATACCTCTTGAATTTGTGTGCTATGTCATTCTGCCCTAGCCCCTCGTAGCAACTTTGTCTCTGTGTCTCCCTAAAATCATGAATCGAGTCTTCGCCCATACCTTTACTGGCTCCCTGTTCTCAGACCCAGTTTCGCTGAGTCGTCATCGTCATACCCTTTTTTAGGAGGACCGACCCATAGCCACCCCGATTCATGTCCATATTCCTGACTTAGTGGATTATGGCCTTGATGTCCGGGGATTCATCCACAATCTGGGATGGGATTTCCTCCTGGAGGACCCTCCAACCCTTATTTGTCTAGATCTAGTGTGGTTCTTTTATTCAAATCTTCGATCTTTTGGTCTTCATAGTCGTAGTTTTTCCATTGTGGTCTATGGTCATCAGGTGACTATTCCTGTCTCTGATTTGGCTCGGCTTCTGAATATTCCTCCCATTGGTGAATCTCCCACTCATGAGTCAGAACTGTGGCGCTTTAACTTCAATGTTGCTGCCGAATTCATTCAGTTGACTGGTATTCACCCTGGTCCTGCAACCTTTCTTCCTGTCTCTTCGGTTTTACCTAGTCTGCGAGCCTTTCATTTTGTTATCTCCAGGATTCTGATCCCTCGCACTCAATCTCTCGACGTCATTCTTCCTCTTGATCTGTGGATTATGGCTCATGCTATTTCCAACGTTCCTCTGGATTTCTCTTATCTTCTCTTCGGTGTCTTTATGACATATGGAGATACTAGTTATCCTGGTCCCCTTCCCTTTGGTCCTACAATCACCCAACTTGTTATTCGACTTGGCATTCCTACCTCCTCCTTCCGCACTGAACTTAGTGCTCGATTCCTATCCATCGATCAAGTTCTTGACCAGTTGGAGCTTGCAAACGAGGGGGAGATGGCTGCTGATGAATCTGAAGGGGAGATGGCTGCTGATGAACCTGAAGAGGAGGATGCTGACATGATCAATGACGTAGATGCTGTGCCTGAAGCTATTCCTGAAGAGAATCCTGTAGAAAATCCTGTGGCAGGAGAAGATGTGGAGAATGTCATTGAAGATCTGGATGATCTTGATGGTGACTCTCTCGATCAGTTCGTTGCAGCACTAGCCTTTCCTGAAGAGGGTTTTTACGTTGCTGTTGCTGCTGTAGCACCTGGTGAGCTGTCTGGAGGTTTGGTAGACTACACCTCGGATGATGAGTCAGTTTAGGGGGAGAACTGTTTAGGGGGAGAACTGTTTGAGATTAACTTTCTTCTTGGGGGAGCTCTTGTCTCCATATGTTTACTGTTAGCTCTTTTGACTTGCTTGATCTGGTTTGTTGGATGCTTTATTGTTTTGCTGGATCTGGTTTGTTGGATGCTTTGAATTGCTGGATCAAGTTTGCGAGATGCTAGTTCGTTTTCTTTGTGTTGCTCTTGTGGTTTGCTGTGCTTTTGTGTTTTACCTCTTTTTGCAGGATTTATATCATTTGCAAGCTCTGATCTAGGGGGAGATTGTTGGACGAGATCAGAGCTAATCATACAAGGAAAGCCTGCCATTTTTGGTAATTCCTTGCTACATCAAAGCTAATCACCAACGGCCCTCTTCTCCAACGGTCTGCTAGAGGAGGATTATATAAACGCTGGTTTGCGGTCCATTCAAGGCGTCTTTTGAGTTTCTGAGATTAGTGGTAGAGGGCTAGTTCATCAGAACAAAAGAGTGATCATCTCCAGGGGTATAGGTTCTGCGAGAGTGGCTGAAGTATACAGAGTTTGGGTTAAACTCTGGTGGTTTCATTGAGTCTTCTTGTCTTGTAATCGTGTCATTAAAACAGATAAATATAGTGTCTCTCGGTAGTAGTGTGTACTATTATCGAGACGAGGACGTAGCCATTATTGGTGAACCTCGTTAAATCGCTGCATTCTTTTCTTCTTGCTTTGATTTCGTTACCTCTGCTGCTTGACTCTGTTCTTCTTCCTCTGCATTCCAGAAAGAAGAATAGCTTCTGTTATTTCAGGCTTAGTCTGCCTGCAAGCCCATTTCGACGCTTATTTCATTTCTCCATTTTTTTGGGCTTTGCGTTTTAATCTTGGCCCATACTCGAGTAAGAAGAAGAGCAGAAGCGCTTTCTAGTTCTGTCATTCTCTTCTTCCTCTTTTCAACTATCGCGTTTCCTTCCAACATCCCAAATCCCTAATAAAAAAAAAATCCTTTTTTTCAAAACCCTATTCCCAAATCGATCTTCAGATTGTTGGTAGCTCTAGCTCTGAATACCTACCTGTGTGTTAGCTTTTGCTGGTCGGCTGAATTCTAGAAATGAGTAGTTGTGTTTTATGGTAGCTTGCGTGTTTGGAATTTGGATATGGAAAAGGAAGAAGTTCTAATGTTTTTTTATGGTGGCTTGGATATGGTAGCTTGCGTGTCTGAATCTGGAAATATGTATGTTGTGGTTTGTGGTTTCGATTTAGGGAGTTAATGTTTGTTTGATGGTTTTGGTTTGAGATTAGGCTTACTGAATGTGTATGGTTTTGGTGAGGTAGGTTTCAAGATTAGAAGGGGCTCCTTCAAAACCAAAGAGGTATTCTAAAATACCGCACAAAGTTGAGCTTTTGTTGAATATTGCTTTTTATTGGTTTGCTTGCGAACATTTTTTTAAATTTGTGTCTCAATAGATTGAGATGTTAAAAGTTAGGAAATTCCTACAATACCTTGAAGTTAAGGTAACTTGATGTTTTTGACATGCTATAACAGGTTTCACAAGTCGCATTACGTAAAATACAATACGCATTCCGTAATGGTTACGTAATGTGTGTTTATCTTACGTAATAGTTGAAAAATGTCATTACGGAAACCTTACGTAATAGACACTCATTTTACGTAATGAATATTAACCTTTCGTTACGTAATCCGTTGAATCATTACGGAAGGCTTACGTAACACTTCTAATTTAACTGTTACATAAGAAATAACTATTGTTACGTAACCTTTACGTAATAGATGCATACTTTACGTAACAGTTGTAAAGTGGCATTACGAAAGCCTTACGTAATGGATGGTCCTTTTACGTAATGATATTAATCAAGTTACGTAATGTGGTAAGTCATTACGGAAGTCTTACGTAACACTTCTAATTCAAATGTTACGTAAGAAATAACCTTCGTTACGTAACCTTTACGTAATGAGCTTGTATTTTATGTAACAGTTTTAAAATGTCATTACGGAAGCCTTATGTAATAGACGATGCTTTTACGTAATAAATATTAATCTAGCGTTACGTAAAATGATAAGTCGTTACGGAAACCTTCCGTAACTCTTCTATTTTAACTGTTACGTAAGACTAACAAGCATTACGTAATTGTTACGTAATAAACATTAGTTTTACGTAACGCGACCTATAAAACCTGCTATAACAAGTAAAAAACGTCAAGTTATAGTAACTTCAAGGCATGGTAGGAGGTCCCTAAAAGTTATATAGAAGATGAAACAAAACCAGTAAAACTTAGACAAACAGGGCAGAACAAGCAAGAATATTGTTTATGCTTTGATGAAAGTACATGGATGATGGTGCTTAATGATGATTACCAACCTTCGGCTTATAGTTTGGGGAAGGGATGAAGTTGTTTTCCCTCCACTTTTGCTGCAGCAGTTGCTTCTTTTTTTAGTTTTTCTTGTGTTTGTTGTTGTTGCGTTTTGTGCGTTGCTAAAGAAAGAAGAAGAGGAGAGTGGGAAATTTACATATTTTTGTTTTGTGTTTGTATGGGGGAGGAAATGTGAGTGGAGTCTTTTTGTTCTGTTGTCTATTGAAAGGTAGGTAGCATGGAGGGTTTTTTTTCATTCCACTGTGTATTCTTTTTTGCTCTCCGTTTGTGATGTCGACCCTAGCAAGAAGGGGAAGAGTATGTTTTTTCTAATAATTTTTGGGTAAATTGCAAGTTTGGTCACTGGGATTATTAAAAACGTTCATGTTTGGTCACTGGAAATATTTAATTCCGTTCGTAGTCATTAAATTTAGTAAAACAGTATAAGTTTGGTCACTCTCAGTTACCTTCCGTTAGTCTCCGTTAACAGCGTCAATTTTTTGCTGACGTGGCTAACAGAAAAGTCCAGTCACTATATTTTAACCCAAAAAAATAAAATTCAACCTGCCACATCATCAAAACCTAACCCAACCCGTGAACCTACTCAACCCGTCCGACCTAAAAAACCTCACTCAACCATTCCAAATCTCTCACCTTGCCGTCCACCTCCGCCACTCCAAATCCTTCTCCAACAACTCCAACCCTAATGCCTCCTCCCCCACCACTTCCACCTTCGCCACAACCAAGACCACAATCTCTAAGCCACGTTGCCGCTCATGCGAGATATGGCCCCGGAACAGCCTTTCTGATCTAAAATCCCTTCACTAGAGCAAGCAGGGAGGGAGCTAACTACGGCAACTGCATCCTCTCATCCATTAGAGACATTGCTGTTGGGCTCAATACTGCCTTTATACTTCTCTTTGCCATCACTGACAGCCTGTATATCCATCCAACCGATCAAATTTATTGTTTCCCCAAGTCAAATAGATGCAGACCATATGTATTTCTAGAGTGGATGAAATCCCTAGAGAGAGGTTGTGACAGAGAATTGCATGGATGAAAGAAGAAGTTGTTGGGGTGGAATCGACCACCACCTCCAGAAATAGGGGAATTGTCGCGCAATTTTGTTTCCCCCAGATGCCCGAGATCCTCTCCCTCAACACTATTCTTCTCCCACTTACTCCAGTCGCCTAGCCCCTCTTCCTTCCCCTCCGCTATCGAAAAGAAGCAGAGGATTTGGTGAGTCACAACCCAAACTCTTTAAGCTCCAAGGCATTGCAGAGACAAGATCGACGCAGCTGAATCTTATGCGAGCAACTCTGGTACGTAGAGCAGCGAATCGGAGGCTTCTCATCCTCTGTCGTCAGAGACATGGTCAAAGTCGGGTTGGCAATAGCGATTCTGAACTGATTCCCAATCGAAATTCTGGGGGTGCTTCTTCTTGCTGGTTTGACCCCAGGATGCGACTGAATCGGAGGCAACAGGTGCGGAAGTTGGAGGAACCGGTGGCTACGGCGGTAGGCGAGGAAGGGGTTTTTCGAGAACCGGGGTTTGAAAGAGGCGGAGGAAGAAGAAGAGGGAGATTGGGGATGCGGCGGAGCTCGAGGAAGAGGAGCGGTGAGGGATTGTTGATGGCGGGTTAATAAGTTAGGTTTGGGTTTGGGTCATGGGTTGGGTTAAATTTAATGACGTGGCAGACAATGTTTATAGTTTTTTGGGTTAAATTTGTGTGACAAGACTTTTCTGTTAGCTATGTCAGCAGAAATTTGACGCCGTTAATGGAGACTAACGGAAGATAATGGAGAGTGACCAAACTTAGACGGTTTTACTAAATTTAGTGACCACCAACGGAATTAAATATTTTTAGTGACTAAACATGAATGTTTTTAGTAATTTCAGTGACCAACCTTGCAATTAACCCAATAATTTTTGGGTGTTTCTGTGTGTTGTTTTCCAGCTGAGAAGAAGAAAAGGGATGTAGAGAGCATTGGTTTTCGCTGCTCGTGGGGAGGAGGAAGAGGAAGGAAACTGTCTGGAAGATGTAGAAGAAGAAGGAGAAGAACCGAGTGTCTCTTTGTTTTTTCGTCTCTTTTTGTTTGTGTGTTGTAGAAAGTGGAGAGTTGTAGGGGAGAAGAAGAAAGAAGAGAGGAAGCCAGAAGAAGAAGGAACTTTAAGGTTTGGTTCCCCTGCTCGTGGGGAAGAAGAAGAAGAAGAATTGGCTAGAATCTCTCCTCCTTGTTTTCTTATTTTGACAGAGTTTCAATAGTAGGAGAGGGGTTATTGGTGGGGGGTTTTGATTGGTTCATAGCGATATAGGTTTACATGTATTTTTCTAATTGATTAGTGAGTGGGCTGGGCTTGAGTTTGGTCTGATCAGTCTGGTTCAACTGAGTTGGATATGGCCCGAGTTTGAGTGGGGCCTGGACCTTATACTTTTTTTTGGGCTGACCTATTGACTGTCTTTAGAGTTGACTGGGATTTCACTTGGACTGGAGTTTGTTGACTTTGACCAGTGTTTTTGTTTCACCTTGGGCCGTTCTTATTTTCTTATTGTAATTATTGTAATGTTTTTATTTAGCTAAGTGTGTAATTATTGTTTAATGAGAAAAACAAACAATTTCATTTTTCATTCCCGAATCAAGCCCCAAATTC